CATTGTTCATTTTATTATTTACACATGCTTTTACTGTGACATGTGAAGATGAGAAAAGCCTATTTTGCTCATTACAGTACTGTCAGTGCTGCAGCACTCTGTCACCACCATGTGGCTGACTCTGCATACTGCACCCTTTTATTTTATTATGTATTTTATCACTTTTTATTTTATTAGGAGTGATCATGCCCATTGACGGAGGAAGAAAGCATGAATATATTTTAAATAAAAAAGGGTGGCTGTGGCTTCAAGAAGTTATGAGCTTGGGGTGTCCCACTAATCAGAAGGTTGGTTGTTTGATTCCCCGGCTCCTCACTTTGCATGTTTCAAGTGTCTCTGAGCAAGACACTGAAACCCAAAATTGCTTCCAGTGAATGTGAGTTTCTGTTTGTGTTTAATCTGTCAATTCTCTTTTTTTCTTATACATATTGTCTTATATATTTGTTGTTGTGCATCATTGTTATACAGCAATACAGCAATAGCGTGTACAGTATACAATCAATGTTATACTGCATTCTACTCCCCATTTATGTAATGAAATATAATAAATAATGTTAGATTATCATAATGAAACAAAAAGTGTTCCCTTTTCCCCCCCAGAACTTGTTTCATTAAGTGTGCCAGTGAGCATGCTGCATTCCTGCCTGTGTGAATGTGTAGCCCGGGGCCTCGGGATCAAGCTGGGACATGCACGTATTCTCAGCAAAACATCACAAGTGCCTCCACTTTGCTGTTCCGTCACATGCAAGCACACTTTTTTATTGTAGAATTAGGCTTACTTAGAACAAACAGAGCTCAAAGAGATTGACTTTCCTGTCCACACCAGTACTCAGATCCTTTACTTCAGTATAAGTACTAATGCCACACTGAAAATACTCTACTGCAAGTAAAAGTAAAAGTAAGTATTATCAGAAAAATGTTCTTCCTTGTATCAAAAGGGAAAGTAGTCATTATGCAGTAAAATGGTCCCTGTGTCTTACTGTTATATGTTTTTTTATTGAATATTACAGCTGCATGTTGCATTTTACTACTACTTTATATGTTGTTGTCTAATGTAAAGACATGCATCATACTCAATAAGATCACCATATGTCTGTAGCATTGCTGTCCTGTGAGAACCACGTATAAAAAAGTCAACTTGTATTCAGCTTTGTGACATTTTCCAGCTAATCCAAGTGGGTTTTTAAACAGTTCATTTAGTTTAAGAAGAAGGAGAAATGTCTCAATCCATACTTCAGTTTATTAGAAAAAATCAAATTCAAAATGACATGATATTTAACTGGGCAGGAAGGGGAAAGTAACTAGTCACTAAAGCTGTCACACAAATGTAGTGGAGGAACAAGTAGGAACATTTGCCTTTGGGATGTAGTGGAGTAGAATAAACTGGAAATACTCAAGTAAAGTATAATAACTCAAGTAAAGTATTTCAGTAGCCTAAATCTACTTGACTCACCACTGTTATGCAGTTCTGCGTAGGGATTTGTCTGTTCAGGAGTTTTTAAGGTGGAGGAACTTTTGCTCTGAAGCTCTTTGTCCCTGCGTGAAATGGGCGTGGAGTGCTCCAGCAGAGACAGAGGGTGGGGGGACGGAGAACATGAACGAGTGTCTAAAACAGCGCGAATGTGAGTACCGTCAACGAACGGAACTGAGCGGCTCAGCGTGATGACAGAGATGGTGAACACGGGTGCGCGGATGATGCCCCGAACTTTCCTCCTGTTCCTAATCACAAGGTAAGCTCTTGCCAACCACGCGCGCAAGCACGCACACGCCGACGTGCTTCACGTCAACACCCCGACTTGTTCACTTATCGCCAAAAAGCCGACCAAAGTGGGCACCGAGACCGAAATATCTTGAATTTAAATGAGGCTTTGGAGTTAGCAGCGGGATTTCATGGACTTGGCTGCGACTCGGGGAGATTTAAAACAAGTTGTCAATAAGAAAGGTTAAAGTAAAAAAACAACTGCGTCACTCAGAGTTTAATGTTGGTGTGTGCTTACCATTATATCCACTTGGTGTAAGTCACTAACTGTAAACACACACGAGCACATCTGGCACGTGCGAACATTCAGCGGTTCAGTGAAATCACACCGTTACCCAACCGCTTTTTCACCAAACTGGGCATTGCTCCATTTTAAAATGACTCTTTGATTCTTTTAATAAATGTGTGTGACAGCATCCTCAAAACAAACCCTTAATGTTGAGCTTTTAAAATATTTAAATATATCAAAACTAGAAAATAAAAAAAAAATAAAAAAAAAAGCCAGGTAATTTTTCTCAACCAGGAAGGGGACACATTGGACTTTGTTCAAAACTAAGTATGAGAAGTATTTGAGGTAGGTGTGTGTGGTTGTGGGTGTGTGTGTGTGTGTGTGGTGTGTGTGTGTGCGGCATGCTGTGACTCACCCTTTCTACTGTAGGACCATACCTGTGGTGGCAGCCACGCTTTCAGATCTAGTTTTGTTTTGTAGAGGAAACAATATCTTGGTCTAATCAATTGTTCTCCTTGTATGCATGATGTGTACGTCT